TTACTCTTCTTACAAGAATTCCAAGGACTTGGCTGAGTGTGAGAGAGAGTCCAAAGTTTGGGACACACCAGTCACCCGGGCCCAGGTTCAGCTTGCTATGGAGATGGCAAGAATATTAGGTTTTAGAGCAGGGCTCAGAAATTTGTGTTCTACCAGATGTTGTTGGAGTCACTAGCCCCAACCGGCTGGTCAAAAATTATGGAAGTTGTAGTTCAGCAACATCTAGAAAGCCACTCATGTTTCAGAAGCTCTGTCTTGCCTCATTTATTGTTTTGTTTTATTTGATCTCTCCTGCCAATATGGAGGATGTGTCTGAGACATGAGAATCACCCTGTCTGAGCTGGGCCCAGCCTGGATCTGTCTAGCAGAAGTCAGTCAGGTAATGCTGGGGCCTTGTTACCCTTGGCATTTAACATTCAGTTCAGGGAGATAAGGTGCTGCTTGGCTTCAAAGTGGTGCCTGTTTGGTTTATTTTAACAAAACAAAAAACTGATTTGGGTACAGATTTTCCTGTTACTTGTTACACTGTGTTTGCCAGTTTGTCTCCAGCCTTTCATTTGTGGGGTAAGGGTTGCTGAGTAGTTGTTTACCACTTGGCTCCAAGCACACCAGGAAAATAGCCTGCTGAACTCCTGCCACTGTGACTTTTCACCTGGGTCTGGCTGAAGTTATAGCTTTGGTTGATAAGAGTTTTAGAGCAAATTAAAGGTATATAGAAGCAATTGCAGCATACCAGCCCTGTTAGATTGCTTTTTAACCTTTGAATACAGTTGACAATGAGACCTGGATGATGTGACTACACAAACTTGTGGGTATTTATGGGGCGGCTCTCAGATAATTCGGCTCATGATAAGGATAAAAGGCAGCTGTCCTCAACTTGGTGCTCTTCAGATGGTGTTGGATTCCAACTCCCATCAGCCCAAGTTAGAATGGTCTGTGGTCAGGGATGATGGGAGATGCAGTTCAACATCTGCAGAAGGCCAGGTTGAGGAAGGGTTATCTAATATCTATCATATTAGGTTTCAGTTATTTATTGAGGACACACAGGTGTCATTCTGCCCACATCCTTCAATCTTTCTAGGCTTCTTCAGGCATCACAGCCATGGAGGGGCTACATGTGTAGGAAAATAATAATAATAATAATAATAATAATAATAATAATAATAATAATTTATTTATACCCCAGCCAAAACTGGGATCTGAGCACCTAACGTCAGATATATAACACATAAACATAAAATCAATCAATCAATTAAAATACATCCTAAAATCAAATCAGGATCAAAGTGAAATCCAATCAGATGGCAACCCACAGATTAGGGTTGGGGACATTAAATGCTCACCAGGCCTAACTGTTTATACTGATCTTATATGAGTCTGTGAGAAAAATTAGGGGGCCACTTTCGTGTAAGTTCTTATAAGGAGAGAGGGAGAGTCAGACTGGACCCCAACCAAAGGCCTGGCGAAACAGCTCCGTCTTTCAGGCCCTGCGGAAAGATGTCAGATCCCACAGGGCCCTGGTTTTTTGTGACAGAGCATTCCACCAGGCCAGGGCCACAGCCAGTCTAATCTTCTTGAGGCCTGGGACCTCCAAGATGTTATTATTTGCGGACCATAAGGTCTTCCGTGGGGCATACTAGGAGAGGCGGTCCCATAGGTACACGGGTCCTAGGCCGTATAGGGCTTTAAAGGTTAAAACTAGCACCTTAACCCTGATCCTGTACTCCACCGGGAGCCAGTGCAGCTGGTATAGCACTGGACAAATGTGATCCCGCGGTGAGGATCCCATAAGGAGTCTCGCTGCGGCATTCTGCACCTGCTGGAGTTTCTGAGTCAGCTTTAAGGGCAGCCCCAAGTAGAGTGAATTACAATAATCAAGCCTGGAGGTGACTGTCGGATGGGTCACAGTGGCTAGGTCAGGGCGAGAGAGGTAAGGAACCAACTGTTTAACGCGGTGGAGATGGTAAAATGCCGCCTTTGTTGTAGCTGTAACCTGCACCTCCATAGAAAGGGAGGCGTCGAAGATTATACCCAAACTCTTGACAGAAGGTGCTGGCACTAATTGTGCCCCCGCAAGAGATGGGACCATGTCTTGAGCTCTCATAATCATGTAGCTTGTGTTGGTTTCTTCATGTTCCAGTGTGAGTTTTTCAGTTTTTTCTATTCATGGAGGCTCCCCACATGATCTTCCAGGGTTCTTTGTGGTGCAGGGAAGCTCCACAAGTAGAAAAGGCTTCCCACAGCAGAAGGTACACTAGAACATGGGAAAGCCAGCACAAGCCTTGAAACAATGGAGTGGGACTATAAATGTGCAGTTGACTCATTGCGTCACCTGCCCCCTGCTCAGTTGGCAGCTGCAGTACCCAGTGATGGAGGAAGGGGGTGCGGGGCGTGCAGTCCACCCCAGGTGTCATCACTGAGGGGGGTGACAAAATGAGGGTTTTTTTTAAAAAAAATGGGCTCACGAAACTTTTTAGGAGTGATGTGGTTGCTTAGGCACCTGCAGGTTCTGCGCTGCCTGAAACGGCAGTGTGGGACTTGCGTCTGCCTACTACCTCTCCCTCAGCCGCCCTACAGCTGAGGGGGAGGCGGTGGAGAGGCTCCAAGTGTCGTAGACGCTCGCCCCTCCCCCACGGGCAGATTGCCCCGCCCCCAGCTGCAGGACATGCCCCCGCACCAGGCACCCAAGTGGCTAGCTATGCCGCTGGCAGTACCACCCTCTGGAATTATGCAGTAGTGGCACTCCTGAACCCCATTCACCCCCTAAATCTGGTCAAGTATTTCCCCAACATTCCAAAGCAGATTTAGGGAGCACACAGAGAGAGGAGGAGTGGGGAGTTCCATTGCACAAGCAGAAATATTAGTACTGATGGAACACATTAGTTGGTAAGGCCTAACTGCTTACATCAGTTTTTGGAAGCCAAGGGTTTGTTGACCAAGAGATGTGCGGTGTAGTGGTTAAGAGCGATAGACTCGTAATCTGGTGAACCGGGTTCGTGTCCCCGCTCCTCCACATGCAGCTTTTGGGTGACCTTGGGCTTGTCACACTTCTCTGGAGTCTCTCAGCCTCACTCACCTCAGAGAGGGTTTGTTGTGGGGGAGAAAGGGGAAGGAGGTTGTTAGCTGCTTTGAGACTCCTTAGGGTAGTGATAAAGTGGGATATCAAATCCAAACTCCTACTCCTCCTCTTCATCCATTTTAATAGGTTTTTAAAGTTGTTGTTTTTTAAATCCATCAGCAAACCTTGTCTTTGGCACGGTGCTGATTATTCATTTAAATGGAAGTGGATATGCTTGTGTATGTATATGAAGGTCTTACAAACAAGATCAACTTGCAAGAAAGGGTTTTCCTTGGAAGGAGCCAAAGCTAACTTTTAATTAATCACAGTTCACAGAGTGTGCAAAAGTGTTAAAAAGACTGTGGGCTATAGCATGGGATGTGCTTGTAGCCTATAGCAAAGCTGCTGTCTCCTAGAACTCTCCAAAGTGCCAACTGAGCACATGCTCTTGGCTCTCTGCCTCGAGGGCATGCAGCTCACTCATTGCTCCAGCACTCAAAGAGGAATTAAGCCACACATCTTCAAAGCTCATGGAAAGGCATGTGGCTGTTTCTGCCTTTTTCAAAGTCTGTGGATGTGGAATTATGATACACTGCAATACCAAGGGAGATCAGTCAATAAGAAGTCTCTTGAAATGGAAAACAAATCCCAAGTGTCATCAACATCATATTGTCCTCCTCTTCTGGGTTGGCCCTACCTTGAGGCATAGTAAGGCAACTGCCTCAGGTGGTAGATGCTGAGGGTCAGCAATAACAGCTCCACAGTTGTTCCTCCTGAGCTCTCTGATCATATCCTTTTTGTGGAAGGGCAGAGCTTTGTGTACCGTGCGGTCTACCTTGCACTGAAATACTCCCATACCTAACCTATTGCTCTTAGATGCTGTGAATGAAATAATCCCTTTGTCAGTACTGGAATAAGATTCAGCTGCCAATCTACTTAGTATTCTATAAATACTAAGGAAGGGAAGAAGAAGAAGAGTTTGGATTCGATATCCCGCCTTTCACTCCCCTTCAGGAGTCTCAAAGCGGCTAACATTCTCCTTTCCCTTCCTCCCCCACAACAAACACTCTGTGAGGTGAGTGGGGCTGAGAGACTTCAAAGAAGTGTGACTGGCCCAAGGTCACCCAGCAGCTGCATGTGGAGGAGCGGAGACGCGAACCCGGTTCCCCAGATAACGAGACTACAGCTCTTAACCACTACACCACACTGGCTCCATCTTTACCCTTCACCTAAGGCAACAAAATGTCTTGAGCCACTCCTGCTTCTTCACCATTGTTGTCTTTTTCTTTGGCTGTTACTAGTTGTTTGACCAACAGGAAAATGTGGGCCTGCCTTCAAAATGTCAAGCTACCTTTTGAACTGGTCAAGGAACTGAGCTTGCACTTACTGAAGAAGCCTTGGGAAGTATTTATGAACACACTTATGTTTTTAGTACACTTAAGTTGTGTTGGGCCTGGTGCTCTGGAATGAAAAAGTTAAATAAGAAAGCAGCTTAGTCTGTTCCTCAATAACAGGTTACTCAGATGGAGTGACCAGTCCAAAGTCAGCACCTGTACAGGACACAATGGAACCCTGTTGACTCATTGTGTTACCTGCCCCTTCCTCAGTTGGGAGCTTCCCTACCACCCTCTGGAATTATGCAGCAGTGGCACTGCTGAACAGCAGAGAGCAATCTAGTGCAGTGGTCCTTTACCTTGAGTTGGATCATCCCTGACCATTGGCTAAGCTAGCTAGGGATGATGGGAGTTCTAGTCCAAAAACATTGGAGGACACAAGCTTGAAAAACACTGATCTAGTGGATCCTTTCTTAAGCAAGTTGCTCTGGTGGCATAGAAAGTCTTGGGCCCTACTGCTAGAGTTCCTAGCTGGAGAGCACTGGTGCCTTACAACTTGTTTTTAATTGTACTGCTACTATTGCTACTACTATTACATTATATTATTTGCTTATGCTGCTATTGCCAGAGTTGACACAGCATTGTGACTGGTACTGATGAACTCCAAATACTATTACTTTATGTTTCCTTTCCCCAAAGCTTTGTAGGTGGGATGTTACCCTTAACTAAGAGGACCTGCAAATCTTAGGTAACAAGACCTTTGAAGCAAATTATCTAGAAGGACTATGGCCGACAGCAGAGACATTGCAGAGAGAATCGAGAATTATAGTTGAACACTATGGTGATAGTTACTTCCGTTGTTGACTGTTTAAAAATATATGCCTAATATATTACTTAGAGGGAGACCATAGTTACATAATCTTCAGAGAGTCAAAGCAATTAAAACATTGAAGATACAGATTTCACATTAATGTTTAAAAAAGACCTGCATTTTTAATCCGCTTAGCCTGACATCTTCTGGAGCTGACATGCACATGTCATGAGCCCCATGGAGACATTGTGGAGAGGGCAGTCAGATGATGAGGATGAGCTGTAGATCAGGGAATTGGAGGAGTCCAACCTGGGGGAAGGTCCTAGCAGGTTAGGGTATGGGGATTTTGGACACCAGGAAGAGTCTAATCCCAGGGAGGTTCCCAGTGGATTAGGAGGTGGAGACCTGGATTCAGGGAAGTTCCAAGCAGGTTGTCAGAGGAACAGCCCACTTCCGTGTCATTCAGTTGTTGTTTAGTTGTTTAGTCGTGTCCGACTCTTCTTGACCCCATGGACCAGAACACGCCGGGCACTCCTGTCTTCCACTGCCTCCCGCAGTTTGGTCAAACTCATGCTGGTAGCTTCGAGAACACTATCCAACCATCTCGCCCTCTGTCGTCCCCTTCTCCTTGTGCCCTCAATCTTTCCCAACATCAGGGTCTTTTCCAGGGAGTCTTCTCTTCTCATGAGATGGCCAAAGTATTGGAGCCTCAGCTTCACGACCTGTCCTTCCAGTGAGCACTCAGGGCTGATTTCCTTAAGAATGGATAGGTTTGATCTTCTTGCAGTCCACGGGACTCTCAAGAGTCTCCTCCAGTACCAATGTCATTCAGTACCTGAGTGTTATGTCACTGCCAGTGGAGATGACTTGCATGCCTTCCCATGTCAGTGTAAAGCCATCTCCTTCCAGGAAAGTACAAGGGGATACATATAACAGCAAGCCACTGCCTTCAACTCTGCCTCCATCTATAAGATGCAGAGGTGACAGCACTGGTATGAAGAGACCTTGCATGCCCGATGTCTACAAAAAAGTGCCCTTTCTGTTTGCCCAGTTCCAAGGCTTGGGACATCACCCATGTGAAAGCTGTCTTCAAAAGGAGGGCACAGGATGTGTGTCAATTGTTGTAACAATTTATTAGCTTTCCTTTTTGCAAAAAGTCTGATCTTTTTGTGAAGTGGGTTCGTTTTGCAAGCACTCCAAATCAGCTTTAATTGTGCAGCCTGAAGTTGCTGGCATGTTGTTGAATCCCACCCAAAATAGTGACAGTCTGGAAGTGCCGTGGCCAAGGAAGACCCAATTCAAATGCCTACTTGGCCAGAAGGTTGGGGGGAAGCATAAGCTGGTGGAGTTAGGTCATAACGGACTTGCAAGAAGGGTGGGATGAAGGTAATAACCCTACATTGCTTTTTTAAAAATTATACTTATTTGCAAATACAAATAAACTAGCACTAATGTAAGTTCCCAATAATAGTGTGTGTTTTTCTAATTTTGCGTGAAATGGATAATGTTAAATAGTCTGTAGTTTGGTTTAATGGATAGCATTAGAATTTACTTATACAGAATGAAAAACTTGAGCAAATGACAAAAACATTTCATAGATGTGTTTCTACCAACTGCTTGCAGCAACAACATAAAAGCACAAACAAATGCCCAGGAACTTGAACAGAACTGCAAAGAGCCTTTTTTGGAAGCTTTCTGGAGAAAACTTACTGTTGCATGCTTTGTATCTGAGGATTCTGTGCCATATTATTCCCCACATCTGGGCTTTGGCAGGTGGAGAGGTATGCTTAACTTCCTCCATCTCAGTGCCATTATGTTGCATTCGTTTTCCGTGTTTGCACAGATGTAACTGTAAAAACCTGATTCAAATGAGAGCTGTGAGAGCTTGGGAAAACCCACCTGGAAAGGCAGCTTGGAGATGTGTGTGTTTGTGTGTATACAAGATTGCAGTGGAATTTTTTTTAAAGAAGAAGAAGAATGGCATTAAAAAATCATTATAAAAATAAAATGACAGAGGCCAGTTACCATTATTTAGTGCATAAATTCAAGAATAGTGTAAAAAGCATGAAGTCTATTCTCTGGTAATTGAAAAGTTTGAACAAGGATGTCTGCAGTTGCTTGATTACTGGGGAGATTTGAGATGCATGGTGGCTATAATGCTCATAAGGATATGAACTAGGAAGACCTAGCCTTATGTCGTTCATTTTTTGGTCTTCTGGTAGGGAAGTGGTCCAGTCAACAAAGTCAACAAAGGTTTTATGAATAACTGACAGGTAGTTGTTGCCCAGCAGTGTCAGAAAGTCACTGTCCAAGAGCAAAGCAGAAGGCAAGCTGCCCAGAAGGCAGCTGGAAGGCATTGACATGTGAAAATGTTGAACCAGTTCATAGCAGGGGTTGGCCAATGTGGTGTCCTCCAGATGCTGCTGGACTACAATGCCCATCAGCCCCAGCCAATGTTACTAATGTTCAGGGATGGTGGGCGTTGTAGTCCAATAACATCTGGAGGACACCATGTTTATGAAGTCAAACCTGGTTGCCTCATCATGCAAGTGGGTTCCCAAACTTGAACATTATTAAGGTAGGGATGGTTCTTCTTTCTGATATGGGATGCTTCATGAGCATTGTGCAGTTGGGCTTGTTACTGCTCTGAGAACTGGTATGACCAAATATACATTACAAGTGCGGCCCTATTTCTACCTGTGAAATGCTGGCTAGCATGCCCTGCCCAACCATGAATCCTCTCTTGGGAATGGTGGTTTCACCCTTAGTATGGATGCATTTGCTCCAACATCATCACCCTTACCTAAAGGGGACTCCAAAAGGAATTTTCCCAAGGAGAGGGGATGAGAAGGTCACTTGAGGAGAGGTGACCAATCATGGGGAAACAGACTTGGCCAATTTAGGGTCACTTCAACCCCTCCTTGTACTCTGTTCTGCAGTGAAGGTAGAAGGTCTAGGGTGTATGATGCAGGTGGGCTTTTCACTCCACATGGCTTTGAAGCAGTGGAGGGGCCTTCCCTCCCATTATTCTATCCTTCAGCACAGAGATGCTCCATAGCATCACCTGTACTTCTCCCCCATCTACCTTGTTTCGGGGTGGCTGAAGCTTCTGCTTGGGGCTGAAGAGCAGAGGCAGTGACAGCAGGTATTCTCCTTCTGCCAGCCCAGAAGTAGAATTTGGCAGTCACATCTATGGCACAAAATGACAATGCAAGTAGTAAAGAGCTTTGCTTATAAACCCTTTTATTAGAGTCAATGGGCACCCATTGCAGAGCCTTTTCTACAGTGACCATACTGTAGGTATTTCACTGGTGCCATAATAGACTCCTGTACAGGGGTGTGGGCGGGTGGTTTATTGCTGAATTATATCTTGTATTGTTGTAAGATATGGCTTGCATTGTTCTCAAGTAGAGCAATCAGGGTGATGAAAATGAAATAGATATTCCCGTTTAATTATTTGGTGAGTGTCCTCTCTTTGATTAACATCCAATGAAGGAGCTAATCCATCTCTAAGTAAAATGCGGATCACTACGGAAAACAACAAATAGACATAGGAGAAAAATGCAAGAAAGACACGGAAAATGTTCTTTAAGGCTCCAAAGACATCCACATTGTTGTAACTTTTAAAACGCTGTTTGCTTGCAAAAGGCTTTTCAGCCCGATCTGTCTTTGTTGATTGCTGATATCAGTTGACATTTTAACATGATTCTGTGTTTGCCAAAGCATCTTACGGTGCCACTTTCAATATCAGAGTCGATCTCGATGAACATTTGAACGCTTTTGCAAACAAACTTTCTCCCAATGAATAATTGAAGAGAGGAACAGCTTGTGGTGTATGCTTGGAACTAATTTTACTATATATAGTTGGAGCGAATGAAGATGCAACCAAAGGCCGCTACCATTTAAATACTCAGTACTTCGTCTGTTACCTTGACTAGTGTAAAGTTGGTTCCCAAGGTAAAAACTAAGTGGTCTGCTGGCATATGGTATAACCTCCATTTGAGCGCTAAAAGCTGGATACTGTTTTTGTGAAACAGATGTTGTTGAGTGCAGCAATGCACAACTGACTCTATCTAACAGCTGGGAATCCTCCGTGACCCATATAGCTGGAAATAAACATGGTCCTATGCTTGGCAAAAGGAGAAGGAGGCAAATTTTCATTTGTTAAAAGGGCTTCTCAAAATGAAGAATAAACGTTTCCCGCTCTAACCTGATTTTTATTCACCAGAGCCATCTCTCCGGCAGTTTCATGCAATGGCCTCATATTATTAGAGGCCCCCTTTGCCAGATGAAGGCTGCAGTTGCACTGACATATAGTGCAGATGGAAAATAAACATCTGCCTCAATCAAGAGAGGAGACCAACAGACAAGGCTGACGAATATTCTCTGGCATGCCTCTCTTTTTCAGGGAAGCACATAAATGCTACAGGACCAAAACCACTGGCATCGTCTGGTGCTGTCCTTATGTGGTTACTGACCATGAAGAGAGATGATTAGTATGCGCTCTCCAAGGAGGAGTGGTGCAGATGCTCAGAGTGATACGCTTCCAACTCGCTAGGATGGGGTTTGCTGTAGCCATGTATGCTAAGCTGCAGAGCAGCTTGGGTTTGTTTTTTGCAATGTTTTTCAATGACATTTAGCACCCATAAATCCTCTCTGTTGTTGGGATAGGGAGGGGGGAGAGAAGGCGTTCCAGCAAAAAAGAGATTGCACACACAATATATATATATAGAGAGAGAGAGAGAGTGTGTTAGTATAGCTTTCCCCCCATAGCACCCAGGAAAATTGTCATGTTACAATTTATTTCTATGCTGCCTTTTGGCCAAAGATCCCAAAGTGGCTCACAAAGGGTTATATACAAATACAAAGCTCAGGCAGCATATTAAAATACAACCTAATAACAAAATTTACCGTACTTTTCCATGTATAAGACTATGTTTTTTCCCTTAGAAATCATGCTAAAATGTTGGGGTCGTCTTATACATGGGTAGTGCATTTTTATTGGTTGCTGCCGCGCCGCCAGAGGCTATTGTGCGTGTCACTGGTTGCTGCGTCAATGGGTGGTGTTGATTGGCCGATGCTGCGGCAATTGGATGGGCGATTTGCTGCTTCTGGCGGCGAGGGGGTATATGGGGGTCAGATTTAGTGATGCATGTGGGTGAGCGGTTTTCGGCATTCCCCCCTAAAAAAAGCTCTACAACCCTCGGAAATCCCCCACCCCCCAAAAGCTCATCAACTCTGAGCATTCCTCCGCAAAAAAGCTCAACAACTTTAATAGGGGGCGTCTTATACATTATAGATGGAAAAGTACAGTCAATAGGAATAGCCCAATGGAGTATACAAGATAAAAAAAGTGAAACTCAAACACATACTCTCCCATGCTTAAGAGCAGAAATATGATTCCCCCACAACGGCCAAAAGAGAACCAGTAGTGGTGCATCCCATTTCAACGCTTCAGGCAAAACAGGAGCTGCCGCCTTGCCCTGCCCTGCCATGGCCATTGCTGCCATGCCTGATGCTGCTGGCACTGTTTCTCTGCCTGCCCTGCTGCCTCCACCACTGGCAGCGAGGCAGCAGTGGTATTAGTGCTAATTTGGGGTGAGATTTTGCCCAATTTGGGCAAGGTCTCGCCAAAACTGCATGAGATCTTGCATGCTCCGCAATATCTCATGCGATTTCAGTCCAAATCAGTGCCAGTACTGGCGTCGCTTCTGCACTGGTGGCAGAGGCGGCAGAGCAGGTGGGCCCCCACAAGCTGCCACTTTGGGGGCTCCTGCCACCTCAATCCTTCTAGAGGCTGAGCTGATTCTGACTTACTCCCACTTCCTCTCCTTCGTACAGTAGCATAGCTACTACAGATATTCACACACTTCTAAATACTCCACCCAGGCCAGTAAAAGGCAATTTTTAGTTCAGGTTCATTACCCTGGTAAGTTCAAAGACATGCTTGAGCCAGGTAAACAAAAAACACTGAATGAGAGTGCAAAACAGGGCTGGGAGTGAGGATGGTCTGAAGTGGGAATGAGATTTGGAGAAAGTCTTGAGGGCCAGATAGATAAAAGTTGAACCTAGTCATAAATTGTTTAAAATTTGTATTTTGGGGTGTGTGTGTGTGTGTGTGTGTGTGTGTGTGTGTGTAAAAGCAATATTTATATTTAGGATCTATATATACCTTTTACTTTTAACGTTCATCTTTTTCCCATGTATCATTTGCAATAAAAAGGCATTCATTGGCATTAGGACCATCAGGTTTGTAGGTTAAAAATATAGTATAGCCGTTATTTATACTTTGTTCACCTCAACGTTGGTGTTTACATGGTTGTTTAAATAGTCAGAGATATTTTCTCCCTGCTTTGGCTTGTTTTAGTAACATGACACATCCTTATGAAAATATGCTGCACCCCAATCTGAGCACCAATTTTCCAACACATGCAAGTGAAATTATCGGATGGTCCTGCTGTTGGAAATTTATGTTTTCTAGCATGTTAGAGAAAGTTGGGTGCCTGTAAAAAAAGATTCTGTTTGTTATAATTTGTCGCTTCCTTCCCACTCCAAGTTTAAATAACTGGCTGCTTTGTTTAGAGAATCTCCCTGATGACATTTCAATTTCCTGATCTCCCTACTGCTGCTTACATTCTGTAAGGCATCAGTGTTTTTTTGTTTTTTGTTTAATTCACAATCTAAGACTAAAGTAAGTTTGAAAATCTGGAGCCAGTCCAGCGAGTG